GTCCATCTTGTTTATGATTTAATTTTTATCATTATCATTATATAATGTCACTCTTTATCCTTGGTAATTTCTGCTCCGGAGTCTATATCTTGTAGTAATATAACCAGTTCTTCTTCTTTCTTCTTTTTTGACAGAGTCTCATTCTGTCACCCAGGCTGGAGTGCAATGGTGCGATCTTGATTCACTGCAACCTCCACCTCCCGAGTTCAAGTGATTCTCCTGCCTCAGCCTCCAGTGTAGCTGGGATTAGAGGCACATACCACCATGCTTGGCTAAGTTTTGTATTTTTAGTAGAGATGGGGTTTTACCATGTTGTCCAGGCTGCTCTTGAACTTCTGACCTCAGGTGATCCACCCACCTCGGCATCCCAAAGTTCTGGGATTACAGGTATGAGCCACTGCTCTTGGCCACATTTACTATTTCTGTTGCTCATTACTGATCTTCCAGGCTTCCTTCTGGTATCATTTCATTTCTTTCTAGAGGATTCCCTTTAGTAATTCTTATAGAGCTGTTCTACTGGCAGTATGAATTCTGTTAGTATTTAATCATCTGAGAACGTCTTTATTTTACCTTCATTCCTGAAGGATATTTTCACTGAATAGGTAACTGCGTTGAGAGCACTTTGAAAATACTGATCCATTTCCTCCTGTTCACTATGATTTCTGAGAAATCCAACCATCATTTTCATTTCTTCCCTACAACACATAATTTGTAGGGAAGAAATGAAAATGATGGTTGGATTTATTTTGACATCTGACCTGGAAACTTTCTTGGTTTCTAAATAACATTTAATGCTGTAAATATCCACTAAGTACTGGTTTAAAACTATGAAAACCAGAAAAAGAAACTTAAAAGCAACTGGACAAATTATTTTTCTCTGGTTGCTTTTAAGTTTCTTTTTCTGGTTTTCATAGTTGGACTGTGATATGACTGGACATGGATTTCTTTGAGTTCATCCTGTTTGAGGTTGCTCAGCTTCTTGAATCTGTAGGTTCATGTCTGTCTGCCAAACTTGTGAAGCTTTTGGCCATTATTTTTTCAAGCATATGTTCAGCCCCACACACTTTGTTCATTTTCTGGTATTTCAGTGGTACTGATGCTAGACCTTTTAGTATTATCCCACAGGTCCCTGACTCTCCTTTTCGAAATGCTGGGATTAAAAAAATGCTGGGATTAAAGGTGTGAGCCACTATATGCAGCCACATTCTTCTTCTTTAGAAACTATTAGAAAGTTTTTACATACTGTGTTTCCTAGGAGTCCAGATGACACAGTTGGCTGGTCTGAGTCACAATCCATTCTCTGGGCTGTGTCCCGTGTCCCCATGGCCATCTTTCTTGTAGTCCAGGTATCTGTCCCTCCATAGAGCACTAAATCAAGGATGGAAATGCCCTGTCTGGAAAGTCACTGGGTTTTGCCAGCCTTGATTGTGCTAGACCTCTGGCATTTGGACTGCTGAAACACACTCTCTAATGACTGATTCTTCTCTCCTACAGTTTTACTGTGCCTCTGACAGCTATTTCTTGTTCTTTCTCAAGACCTTTCTTTCCCTGACAACCCCATAAATACTGGTGCTCTTCAGGGATCTGGGCTTGTCTTGGCCTTCCCATTCTCACCTCTCTGATCACATGTATAAACTTATGGCTTTCAAAAATATGGTCCATAGTTTACTCATGGATTCTCTATTTATTCAATACTCAAATTTATTTATAACCCCCAAAATCAATACCTGATGCACTTTTATACTCATTTGTGGACATAGAGAGTCGTGAAAAATTTGAGTCCCTCAACATGCATGCTCGTAGCTGAAGTCAAACAAGGCGATACTTTACCTTCTTGTTTCAGCACTCAGACAATAAGTGAGTACCCTTTTCATGGTGTATTAATGCCACATTTTTGGAATTTTTGTACTTTTTATTGTAATGAAATTACAGCCTCCTTCTTGACTCACTCTCTACCTCTTGGTCTGCTGCTGCTTTTAGAATTCTCAACCATCAGCCAACCATCTATCTGTTTATATATACAAGATTTTGTCCATGTCTTCCTGTAAAACAAAACCTATGAGAACGAGGACTTTGTGTCCTTTACTTTTGTGTCCCTGGGTGCTAACAATAATGCCTGGCATATGGTTGATACTCAAGTATTTGCTAAACGGATGAATGAATGCCTCCAGTCTGTACATGGTCCCCCTGCTGCCTTAAGAATAATGATATGGTTTGGCTGTATCCCCACTCAAATCTCATCTTGAATTGTAGTTCCCATAATTCCCATGTATCACAGGAGGGACCTGGTGGGAGGTAACTGAATCATGGAGGTAGGTCTTTCCCATGCAGTTATCACGATAGTAAGTCTCATGAGATCTGATGGTTTTATAAAGGGGAGTTCCCCTGCACACACTCTGTCTTGCCTGCTGCCATGTAAGACGTGACTTTGCTCCTCCTTTGCTGTCTACCATGATTGTGAGGCCCCCTGCAGCCATATGAAACTGTGATTCCATTAAACCTCTTTCCCTCATAAATTACCCAGTCTCGGGTATGTCTGTGTTAGGAGTGTGAGAACAGACTAATACAAATAAGCTCCAAATTTTTATGTCTTACTCCTGCCTATCTCTCTGGTGTCATATCCCATCTCCCCCTTTTTAAAACAATACGTTTTAGCTTCAATGAAGCACCAGTGTTTTTCAGAAGCCTCTTGTAGCTTTCATTGTCTCAAATCATTATCAATGTCACCACTCCTTTTCCTTTTTTCTTGGCTAAATGCTGTCATCTTCAAGTCCCAGCTCAAGATCAGCTCCCTGGAAAAGCCTTTCGCCATGGCCTGTGCCTCCTGCAACATCAGCTCTTTGGCAGCCAGTTCAATGCTGAACCACTTTGCTTATCTCCTCTATTTCAACAGGTTCTTCACTGATTTGCCTTATGGCTACACCCAGCTCCTTGTGGGAAAGGGGCTTCATCAGTTCATCTTTTTATTCACAGGTTTTCTCGCATGATATTTGGTATCTAGTGTATGCTCAATGAAACACACAGATTGGAAGATTTATTTAAAAACAATGTATCATCAGTAGTTGCAAAAAAAATCTTGGCAATCCAGGCAAATCTGTTATGTAATTAATTCCACTGATGAATCTAAAAAATCACTTGACTTTGTTAATCAGTTCAATCTATGAAATGAGCATTCTATAATAATTTTTGGCCAGATGCAATGCTTATGCCTGTAATCCCAGCACTTTCGGAGGCCACGGCAAGAAGATCGCTTGAACATGGTAGTTTGAGACCAGCCTGGGCAACATAGTGAGACCCTATCTCTACAAAAAATACAAAAAATTAGCCCAGAGTAGTGGCATGTGCCTGTAGTCCCAGCTACTCAGGAGGCTGAGAAGGGAGGATTGAGACAAGGAGGTCGAGGTGCAGTGAGGCATGATTCACGCCACTGTAATCCAGCCTGGGTGACAGAGTGAGACCCTCTCTCAAAAAAATAAAAATAAAAAGTAATTCTTGTGAGCATCAGATGATGTGTGGAAAGAATTTTAACTGTGACAGATGATAAGGACATAAAAAGGAATTGCTATAAGCAAAACACGTGATCACATTTTTTCCTCGAATATATTTCTAAACCTGTTACTGAAGCTTTGTCAATGAAGGGTTGTTAGGTGAGGAGCAAAACCAAGTTCTATAATGTATCTTGCTCATTACTAACAGATAAAGTTTATTATTTGTAACAGCTTTTCTATTATTTATATAATCATGCTTCAGAGTAAATGAAGAACTTCTATGTTAGAAACCAGCCTCAGAGGATTTGTATATCTAACATATAAACAGAATAAAAATACTATGTAGCCATAAAAAAAACAATGAGTTTGTGTCATCTGTAGGGACATGGATGAATCTGGAAACCATCATTCTCAGCAAACTGACACAAGAACAGAAAATCAAACTCTGCATATTCTCATTCCTAGGCGGGTGTTGAACAATGAGAACACATGGACACAGGGAGGGGAGCATCACACACTGGGGTCTGTTGGGGGTGCTAGGGGAGGGACAGTGGGGGTAGGGAGGTTGGGGAGGGATAACATGGGGAGAAATGCTAGATATAGGTGATGAGGGGATGGAGGCAGCTAACCGCATTGCCACGTATGTCCCTATGCAACAATCCTGCATGTTCTGCACATGTACCCCAGAACCTAAAGTGGAATAATATATATATGAAAAAAAAAGCTGAAAGATCTGACACAACTCTCAGAAAATTTACTTTATAAAAACAAACCTAACAATCCAGTAAGCAACATGTGTAACAGTGATTAACCTAAACTCGAAGCATGTGCCAAAAAGATTAAAAAGCAGCTGAAGGGTCTCAATTTGATCAGTTTGGTACACGTTAATATGCAGTATCCACATACCACCTTGTAAACACAGTAACTCCCTGTGCTGTCTTTACAGATAAAACAAACATATCTATATCAATAAAAATAACCAGGGATTCACTTCATCCTTTACCGATTTCCGTACCCACAAATTACACTCTCCTGAGTATGATTTCATTATTGATACACACTGGGAATTAAGGAATATTTACAATAATAATGGCTGTCATTTATAGAGCATGTATTATGTTTAATCCTTGCAATAATTCTACAAGGTAGTTACTTTATTTCCTTTTTAAGATGAAGAAATGGAACCTTCAAAAGGTTAATAAACTTGCTCATGGTAACACTGATGCAAAGCCAGGAGATCTTAGAGTCTGCAGGCACCAAAGCTCACATTAGTGAAAACAAATGAGAACCAAAACATTAATGCTGACAGCTTGTGGAATTCTTACCTTGAAACTATCATAACAAATCCTTCCACACCATGAAATCATTAAGATCGCAGCAATAGCTACTGGCAACACACGTCTGTTTTTTCAATACCTTGTGACACATGGAATTATCATCTTGCTAGATCTTATCATCATCAGCTTCAGGAGAGGAGTGTTTAAAAAGCTTAAGCTCACTGCACAGACTTACCTAAGCTTGACCTTGTGTTCGATCTTTCTATTATTGCGTGCTTACTGGGATTGTTTAATACTGAGCGTTTGGCAAGTGAGATGTCAGCAGTGACCCTTGTGATGGATATCCTGTTGGAGAAAAAGTCACAGAAGACCCTAACATTATTAATCTAATCAAAGGGAATAGAAGTACATGCACAAAATTCATCTAAGTATGAAATTATATAGCAGCCATATTTTTAAACCATACGTGTTAGGATACTTATTCTTTCTTTTCACTTACTGATTTTTGTTTATCTTGCACCTGCCTCACTTTGCTTTTTGTTTGTTTGTTTTGAGACAGTCTCGCCCTGTCTCCCAGGCTGCCCAGGCTGCAATGCAGTGTCGTGATCTTGGCTCGCTGGAATCTCTGCCTCCGGTGTTCAAGTAATTCTCCTGCCTCACCCTCTCAAGTAGCTGGGATTACAGGTGTGTTCCACCACACCCGGCTAATTTTTGTATTTCTAATAGAGAGGGGGTTTCACCATGTTGGCCAGGCTGGTCTCAAATTCCTGGCCTCAAGTGATTCGCTTTCCTTGGCCTTTGAAAGTGCTGGGATTACAGGTGTGAGCCACTGTGCTGGCCCTATCTTGCACCTGCCTTACTTTGCATTTACTGCTTGCTTATCAAGTGTCAGGTAAGTACTAAGGCCTTTATTTGAATTACTAAATCATCCAAACAGCTCTCGGAGAAATGTTTATTATTATCCCACTTTTGCTGATGAAGAATGAGATGCACAGAGAGATTATTTATCCAAGGCTATGTACTTCCTAAGTGGTAGAGCTGGGATTTGAACCCAGACTCCTGAGCCTACATTCCTACCCTCTGCGCCATAGTTCAGTGCTGTGATAGGCATGAAGAATAAATAAGAACTGGTCTCTCCTCAGTGAGCTCATGTTCTAGTGGCAGAGATAAATAAGAAAAGAAAATAATTAAAGATGATGATTGTTGTGAAAAGAACAAACGGTATTATGACAGATGATAAGGGAGAAATGAAAGCAACAAAATTCGGGAGCTGGAAATAGCAAATTACTTAGACTGCAGAAAGCTGAATATTCAAGTCAGCAGTAGGAAAAAGCTGTGAAGCAAAATTGAAGGCTCACAATATCTCTAAAGAAGGTAGCGAATGAAGGTGGGGCAAAAAGAAAAAGTTTGGTTAAAAAGTCTGTTTCAGTCAGAGCCCTCCACCGCAACTTCACAACATCAAATGGCCAGGTGACAGTTCTTTTCCTGTGTGGTAAAAGACCCTAGTTTGTTATCTTGCAGACAATACAAGACGGCCTCTGACCAGGGGACCCTAGACAGACCAGGGGCAGAGAATACTGGATGAAAAAGAAAAGATTCTGAATGCTGAATCTTCAACCTTCTTCCTCATTGTAGAATTTTGGTAGCCTGTCTTATATCCCCAGGGGTCAGAATGGAAGATTCATCTCTGGGGAATCTGACTGCCAAAGAGTAAAGACCTAAAGATAATGATATTGGAGGTTTCCTATCTAAATTGTCCAGCAAGATTGCCATACACAGAAACACAAAGTTGACAAGCTCCGCCTATGAGCACAGAGCTTCTGAGTAATTATTTTATGCCTTACTTTAAATTTTGAGCACAGGACTGTTTGTCAGGCATCTTCAGAAAGCCTCTAGCATGACAGACCAAAACAAACAAAAATCAACTATGAAAATTATTCATAGTTAAAAGCTAAGAGATGGTTTTGTCTATGAAACTAGAACAAATTTCTATTTAAAAAGAAGAGCTTTTGAAAATACAAACATGATAATAGAAATTAAAAAAAATCAAAAGGAGGGTTAAAAGAAAGGTAACATCTCTAAAGGATACAACAAAAAAGACAGTTGGAAGATAGGAGAAGAAAGGTAAGAAAAGTAGAGAATAACAAGAGGTTCAAATTCCAAATCACAAGAGTTCAGGAAAAGATAATAAAACAAAGGAGAGGAAATAAAGAAGTAATTACAGAATTAAGGGTCTGATTTTTCAAACGGAAAGGGTCTAGCTCAAGAGTTGAAAGATCCACACCAAGACATATTTTTATAAATTTCATCACACTGGGGACAAAGAGAAACCTACAAGCTTTCAGAGGAAAAAACACGTCTGAAAGCATCAAGCACTAGAATGCTTTGTACTTCTCAAAGCAACAATGGAGCCCAGAAGGTAATGGAGCAAAAAGCCTTTAAAATTTGGAGGAAAAACTATGTCAATCAGAATTCCATAACCATTTAAACTAGCAATTAAACAGAAAGGTTTGTAAACATGCAGGCTATTGGGAAAAAAGTGCATATACTCTTCCTAGGGAAATGACTGGAGAAGGTTTTTGACTCAAATGACAGTAAAGTTTGAAAGAAATCAAGGCCTCTAGGAAAGAGGAGCTTCAGCCTGAAAGGAAGGTGAAAGGAATCCCAAGGATAACAAGGAATGTTCCAGAACAACACCCAACACAGAAATGGTCTAGACTGCAGCAGGCTAAAACATCCCAGAGAGATTCAGATAGACAAACTAAATTTTGGCTGGCTCCATGTTTAATATTTATCATAACTATGTAAATAATCATCAAATGAACTACGTCACATAATGTGTTTTTGGGGGGGGGCGCGGGGGGGGAGACAGTGTCTCATTCTGTCACCCAGGCTGGAGTACAGGGGTGTGTTTATAGCTAACTGCAGCATCAACCTCCTAGGCTCAAGTGATCCCTACTGGCTCAGCCTCCCAAGTAGCTGGGATGACAGGTGCATGCCACCACAACCAGCTAATTTTTTTTTTTAAGTAGAAACAGGGTCTCACTATGTTGCCCAGGCTGGTCTCAAACTTCTGAGCTCAAGCAGTCCTCCTAAAGTACTGGGACTACACGTGTGAACCACTGCACCCAGCCCAGTGTATTTTTCTGGTATATTTTCCTTGTAGTTTCCATGAGATAAACAACTTCTTACATTTGCTTACTTTTCTTTCTTCTTTTCTTTTTTTTTATAGACAGAGTCTCTCACTCTGTCATCCAGGCTGCAGTGCAGTGGCACAACCTTGGCTTACTGCAACCTCTGCCTCCTGGGTTCAGGTGATTCTCCTGCCTCAGCCTCCTGAGTAGCTAGGATTACAGGTGCCCACCACTGTGCCCAGCTAATTTTTGCACTTTTAGTAGAGACAGGTTTCACCATGTTGGCCAGGCTTGTCTTAAACTCCTGGCATCAAGTGATCTGCCTGCTTCAGCCTCCCAAAGTGCTGGGATTACAGGTGTGAGCCACTGCGCCCAGCCCAGGAATTTTTGATTTCTAATAAGATTGCCCTGCAGAAGATTCTGGCAATAGTATATTTATCCCTATAGCAATTCAGTGCGCATTCCAAACACTTCAGGGCTGACTGCTGACATTTTGAAAGTCACTGAAGGGCGGGGTGGGGTGGGGAGGGCAGGGGGAGGAAGCAACCTGAATTTATCCCAGGTAGTAGCTTTCCTCCTTGTTCTCAATTTCCTTGTTAATTTACCTGTCACCATCCTACTAGGGTGAATCTGAAGATGGCTTTGACACGATTGGTTACTGTGAATCCAGTTTTAAATGGGCTACTTTATTGCACACAACAGAAGGAGGAGAAGGATTTTTTTCCTTGATCTGACACTTATGCTACTTAACAACCAGAATCGTGATTGACAGACCCCCCAGTACTTCTGCAAACGAATTTAAGTGGGCTTCAGAAAAGAAAAGGAATTCTTGACTACCTAGAACCTTTTTCATAACTAACATTTCCTTTCATATTTTCTCCTCTTGGGCTTAAATTTTTCAAAAAATAAATTTAGCTTATTTAATAGATGATTAAGGAATAATTCATTGTTCTTTTTTAGAATGTCATGTGCACATACACACCTGATGCTTTTGATGACTTTTCATCTTCTACTGCTGCCTTGCCTTGCCAAAAGCAAAAACATTCAATAATTCAGTTACTGTAGATGTCTTGCTTAAATTTGTACATGGCTTTTAAATTCTGCCTATGGACTCTGTTTCTTCCCCTGAGGACTGTTAATTGGTGACAACAGGTCTAGAAAATTGAACCCCAGCTCTGTAAGTCAAGATGAGCCAAGGCAGGTCTATTAATTAAATCATAAGGAAATTAATTCTGGCTAGAAATAATAGATACATTAAGATATTTTATCTGTTTCTTAAATAAAACCAATTTGGGTGGATGATACACTTGAACATGGGTCCAAGATACACCCTCTCTGGCTGGAATGTGTCTTCCAAATTCAAAACTGACTCAGGTTTAAATATAAGTAGTGCTCCAGGAAAGTCCATCCCATCTCCCCATCTTTGGCATTTAGGAAAGGGCAGTGGGTTAACTCAGGCATGGAAAACACCGTGCCTTGTTAGCAGAATTTTTTGAGTGTTCATAATTCCAACCCATGATAAATGACAGAGCCAAGAATAAAGAAACACAAGCTAAATGGAGCAGATTAGAGGTATGCCTTTTATACTTGGCCAGTGCCTAGGAGCCTTGGTCCAAGCTAAAGATTCTGTTTTCCTGGCACAAACTAAAAAATATTTTGTAAAGTTAAAAAATAAAAAAAAATCTAACGGGGTATTTGTTATAAAAAAGGCCTTGATCATAAAGTCTTTCAGACCTGGAAACTTAAAATAGTTTTTGTTTTCCTCATTCTCTCCTTTCAGTCCTTTGCCTGATCACTTACCTTTTTTTTGAGACAGAGTCTCACTCTGTCGCCCAGGATGGAGTACAGTGGGATCTCGGCTCACTGCAACCTTTGCCTCCTGGGTTCAAGTGATTCTCCTGCCTCAGCCTCCTGAGTTGCTGAAACCATAGGTGCCCACCACCATGCCCAGCTAATTTTTGTATTTTTAATAGAGACAGGCTTTCACCATGTTGGCCAGGCTGATCTCGAACTCCTGACCTTGTGATCCGCTCACCTTGGCCTCTAAAAGTGCTGGGATTCTAGGCATGAGCCACCACACCCAGATTGCTTGATCACTTACTAACAATACTTGTCCTCCTATAAAAGCTTCCCTCCTGCCCTTGCCTCCCCTGCCAAAATTCAGTATAAATTAAAAATGGTTGTAGTAATAGGTGTGGTCTAGAAACAAAGCACTATATTAAGAAATCTAAAAGAATCCTGAAACCAACAAATACTATCTATTGCAGCAGTCCCCAACTGTTTTGGCACCAGGAACCAGTTTTGTGAAAGAATTTTTCCATGGACCGGTTCGGTGGGAGTGGGGAGATGGTTCTGGGATGATTCAAGCACATTACATTTATTGTGAACATTGTTTCTATTATTATTACACTGGAATATATAATGAAATAATTATACAGCTCACCATAATATACAATCAGTGGGAGCTTGTTTTCCTGCAACTAGAGGGTCCCTGCTGGGGGTAATGGGAGACAGTGACAGATAACCAGGCATTAGACTCTCATAAGGAGCTTGTAACCCAGATGATGTGCACGCACAGTTCACAGTAGGGTTTGTGCTCCTATGAGAATCTAATGCCACTGCTGATCCGACAAGAGGCTGAGCTCAGGCACTAATGAGAGTGATGAGGAGTGGCTGTAAATACAGACTGAAAGACGAGGAAGCCATTAATTGAGATAGGGAAGACCATGGGAGGAGCAGGCTTTGGGGGAGGTTATGTTTGTAAAGTCCATTAGACATCTTCATAGTGATACTGAATAGGCAGTTGGATATATGGGTCTAGAATTTAGAGGAAAGACTGGCAAGGGACTGGAATTTAAAAATCTGACACTGAATGACATCACTAAAGGAACGTAGATCAAAGACGTCAAAGAGCTTAGCCCTGTGCTGTCCAAGATTTCCAGTTGATGAGGAAGAATCAGCAAAGGAGACAAAGGAATAGTCTGTGTAATAGAAGGAAAACCAGAAAAGTCCGCTTCCAGAAACCAAGCAAATAAAGTTCTTCAAAGAAGATGCAGTAATCCACCACGTAAACTATTGCTCATGATCAAGACTGGAGCTGAAAGTTTATCCCTGGATTTAGCAATGTGAAGGTCACTGGTGATCTTGACATGACTAGTTCAGCTGAGTGGTGTGGGTGAAAACATAACCGGGGTAGGCTCAAGAAAGCAGAAGGAGAGCAGGTACACTCAATTACTTTAAAGAATCTTCTTGTAAAGAAAAGATAAATGAGACACCTAGAGGAATACGAGGTCACATATGAGGGGAAGTAGCATTTTTTACATGCTGATGGAGTTTCCATTAGAATGGCAAATATGAGGCGAGAGCAAAGGATAATTACTGCTGTGTATGGATACTTCTAGCAGAGCGGGGATGGGGAGTGAGATACAGTGCCCACATGGGTGGGTTGGCCCTTGCTGGGAACATAGTAATGGGAGATAAAGCAGAGCATCCAGGCAAACACGCAACTCCACAGGCGGGGTTATGGAAATGCCTGGGTATTCTCCATTTGCCTCTATTTTTTCAATGACACAGGGAAGCAAGTTCACTGGGGGAACGTGAGATGAGAGAGGGTTATCAGAGGCCTAAGGAGGGGGAGATGGCACACAAGTCTTTGGGGAAAAATGAATGGAAGAGGGTTATTTAATGCGATGTCTGGGCAGCAATAGGGGGCCAGTTGAGCATGAACTGAGGATGAAACTGGCCAGTGGAGTCATGCCCAAGGTCAGTTATGGGTACAAGAACTGGACATCAAGGGTTAGGGATGTACAAAGCAAATATGACAAATATTGACTGAATCAGATAAAACTGAGTGAAACTTATTGCCCATCGTCATGCAGACATCAGAGGGTGGTTTCCTCTTGAAATCACATGCCTGTCCCACCAGGATTTTGCCATCTTTAAGACAAAATCCACAAAAACCAGTATGCTGAAATACTCACCGCCCTTCAAATCTGTGTTTTAAAAAATCAAACAACGCTTTTTGCATCATATCTGTGACCTGCAATTGAGCAAGAAATAAATTAAGATATGACAAAAAACATTACTAATGATGATAAAACAGTTTTACTTCTCTTAGGAACACTTGAAAACCTGAGCTTTGTATTCGAAAGAGTGACAATATGAGGATGCTGCATTTTTCTGCTTCTGAGTTCTAATGCAATGACAATTGAACTGAACTTATGATGTTTCAGTGACAAATCACATTGCAAGTGGTTTCAGTCGGTCTCCACTGGACACTTTCTTGGACTGAGTACACTGCAACTAGCAGAAATCTTCAAAGCAACAGCCAGGTAAACAAAACAGAAAAAGGATGAAGCAGTGTATACCACAGCTTGAAGAACAGCATGCTTTGCTGCTATGAGTTCTTTAAGCTCTAAATTTGGCTCTTTCAGCTGCAGAATTCAGAGAGAGGGTCAGGAATAGGGGGCAGAGTCACAGAGAGGTTCAGCATGCAGAAGTCAAATGTTCTGTGGAAGGCAGCTACTCACCTCATAGCCCTTCAGAGAAGGGCCCACCAGGACCACCGGTCGCATGGAAGGTACCACATCATACGGAGGAGTGTGCTCTGTCTGCAGAGAGAGGAGACGCTTTAGACATTCCACAGGCAGGCGGAACATAAATAGTTTATGTATAAGATACTCTTTCTGAACTCTGTAATATGAGGCACTGGCTTTCCAGGCACTTTTTTTTTTCTACTTGTCTCTTTTCTACATAAACCCAAACAAAGATTGGTGGGTTCACTTTCCTAAAGTTTCAAGTTACTGTTGTCTACAGTTTTCTTGCTTATCTCAAGAAATGCTACTGACCTATTAGTTCCTAAAGCAAGAGATGCTGCTTTTGAACAAAAACTAGATGATAGAACCAAGAGAAACATGGCTCATGCAAGATAGGTGCTTTAGGCTTGACGAGAACTTAATATTGCTTTTCGGATGCATTTGAATTTTCTAAAGAGCTGTAATGATTAGACCTAATGTGGTTAATTACAGAGAAAAGAAAGATTTCATTACCTTTGCATGTTAGGTGTTTCTCTTACCTGTGTAAAACTAATTTCAAAATATGTTACCGCTCACTACCACTACTTTTTACCTAATCGCAAAATGTATCTCTCACTATTGTCGAAATTCTATTTCATTGTGAGACTTTAAATGAGCATGCATGCTTATTCTAGTAAACAGTAATCATGATCACTAGATTACTGCTCACAGCTTAGTGATTAATGCTTTTGGATTTTTTAGTTTTTATACCTGGGTACTTCAAAGGTAAGGTTTACGTGCCTTAGAGGGAAGGTGATTATAATATACTCAACCATGCTATAGTAGACTCAGAAGGTTCATTATCAGTATGCATACCTAATATGATTCTCAAAATTAGTTCAAGTAGTGTTTCTGTTAGATAACTAATTGATGTCTTTTTGCAATAATTTTTTAAATCATTTATTTTTAAGAAGAGTAGGGAAAGAGCCACATTTTGTAGCAATTTGTAAAACTATCAACACTTTTCAGCTTCATTGCTTCAAATAAAATGGTTAAATAACATCTTTCAAAAAATTAGTTAACAGCTAATTGATTTATATTAAAATTGGCTCTTTTGATAACTTAAAATATTAAACTGACCCAAGAATGACTTCTTAAAAAAATGCAGAAGAGAAATATGGCCTTACACACTGGGATAAGCAAATCATTGCTATATGAATCTTTCTGGTTAAGGAGTGTCAAAAAATATAACTTGAAGAATCACAGACACCAACAGAAAAACATTTTTTAAACGATTTTAAGAATTCGATACACTGATGTACAAATATGAATGTCATTTTTGCATCTGCCCGTCACTCAAGAACATTTTATTGTTGCTTAAAATTGCCCATTATAAACTTTTCTGGCTTCATTTGAACTCACATTGCCTCAGGGGGAAATTAGAAAGCATTTCCAATTCAAAAGCTTCCATCTGAGATTTCACCAGTAGTCAGAGACGATATAATCAGAGGGGAGAAAAATATTACCCTGACTGTCCTGTCAAATTTCACTGCCTAAAATTCCACCTAGCATTCAGAATTAAGTTTAATTGACACAAAGTAGAATACATTTTTGAACAGAAAAAAAAAAAAAAGACAAACACAATACAGTGAGAGCACACATGCCACACAAGCACCACTCTAGAAGCAACCTAACACAGAAAATCTTCCCACCGAATCTCAGGTTGTTTCATCTTTGAATTCTACATTGACGTTAACCACATCATCAATAACATAAGAAGAATGAATACCAGTGCCGAAGGCATCATAAGCATATTTCTTAAATTATTTCATTTATACCACCTGGGATCATACTGAAAATGTTTAGAAGCCAAGTCCTTATAACTATGCAGTATAAGAACGCCTTTTCCACTGTTGAAATTAGTAATGTAAATTTCCTGCATTTTAGTAAGAGCTACCAAGAAATTTTACCTCAAGACTTTAATTCTGAAGTGGCCCAGTGTTTGATAGGTCTTTGATCTATAACTGCCAACTAGCAAAGGGTCACCCATGGCTGGTAATCAATCAGCTTCTTAATCAATGGGGTAGCTACAGAAATTACCTTATTTGATGGAATATTGGTGCTTTGTGCCCTATGGAGAATGACACCATCATTTTTATCTACTCTTTCCCATTAACCCTATTTTTTTGGGTGGGGGCAGAGTCATCAGCTCTGTTGCCCAGGCTGGAGTGCAGTGGCACGATCTTGGCTCACTGCAATCTCCACCTTCCAGGTTCAAGCAATTCTTCTGCCTCAACTTTCCAAGGGCTGGGACTACAGGGGCCTGCCACCATGCTGGGCTAACTTTTTATATTTTTAGCAGAGACATCATTTCACCACATTGGCTGGACTGGTGTCAAACTCCTGACCTCAGGAGATCCACCTGCCTCCGGCTCCCAAAGTGCTGGGATTACAGGTGTGAGCGATCACACCCTGGCTACTTGAATTATTTAGTGAAAAAATTGTGACCATTTTAAAAGTTTTAGAATTTAAAGGTAGGAAAACTTCAAAAACCTATCCTGACAAGCATGGCTTTAGTTCACGTTCTTGCTCTGTCAAGTCCAGAATGTCTTAGCGATGTCTATTTTTTTTTTTTTTGAGACAGAGTTTTGCTCTTGTTACCCAGGTTGGAGTGCAATAGCACGACCTCGGCTCACCGCAACCGCTGCCTCCTGGGTTCAGGCAATTCTCCTGCCTCAGCCTCCTGAGTAGCTGGGATTACAGGCACATGCCACCATGCCCAGCTAACTTTTTGTATTTTTAGTAGAGACGGGGTTTCCCCATGTTGGCCAGAATGGTCTCGATCTCTTGACCTCGTGATTCATCCGCCTCGGCCTCCCAAAGTGCTGGGATTACAGGCGTGAGCCACCGCGCCCGGCCGCGATGTCTCTTTTTTAAGCTCCTAAATGATGGATACTGTCAGCCACTTGGCCGCAAGCTTTAGCTATAACAAGAAGATCGGACCTGAGAGATGGGCCCACTGTTGTAGATGAACATCAAGCGGAGGCTTTCTGTGTTAACACAAAAATCCAAGTGTTATAAATTTTGCCCAGAGTGCTGAAGTCTTCCCTTACTAAAGTAATCATAATTGATGCAAAAAACCCAACTTTACACTTCAGTATCCGACACCTCATTAATGACGTTAGAGTTCCTTCACAAACCAAAATACTTGTTTGGAGAGTTTGGGGATAGAGGAAAGACTTAGCTTCACATCTGCGTGTGAGAATATATCCATGGTTTTAGAGCCCATCATTTAGTATGGCTCTAAAAGACAGCATGGTAGCTGTGGACTGATGAGTGAAAGAGGACAGAAAAAGGGAAATTTGTGGGGGATGGTAGTGGTCTTTAAAAAATAATGCTTCACAGCTACAAAATGGGTAAGAGAAAACAGGCTTTGTCTGAAGTAACGAGAGCTTGAGAATACCCTACAGTTTCCATTTAGGGGACAAGGAGCCTCACCGTGTAGCATTTTGGGTGGCCAATGGCAAAGGCTCTACACATGACCACTGGCTGCAGTGTCCAATGGGTGAGATGCTAAAGTCTGACTGATGGAGAAGGCAAGAACATTGGGAGAATATTTATATATGACAATAGGAAAAACTCACAGTAAACCGCCAAAACAAGCCTGCAGTTTTCCACTGGTCTTGTTCATCTGCAGATTTTGCACCTAGTGGATTAGAAGTTTAAATACTGACTAAATTAAAACTTGAATTTCTTTTTAGTACAAGCTATGTATCTGGATATCATTAATCAGAATCTAATAACTGCTTTAATATGCTTGATCATAAGTTAAATTTCTGGAAGACAGACAGACAGACAGAATAAGCATGCACAGTTAAGGTGCATTATATGGAGCTGTCGGTGTTTGACATCCTTGAATGTTGAAACAAATTCCCTTGGTGGTAGATATTATTCCATCAAAAAGGATAAGTACTGTAATGGTGTTTTAACAGGTCACTCCCTGAATTTAGTTGCTTTGAAATGCATAAGCTCAATTAGCTGTTGATAGGTTCTTTGCTTGGGACAGAAATGATTGTATTTCATACAACTGTGGGAATTAATGCTAATGATGCCAGTGGCAGGATAAACGCAGCTTATGTCAATGTAAACTTACCGATTTCTGCTTCTGCTTAGCTACAGCAGCATGGAAAGGAAACAAATAACAGAGCATGCACGTTATTGGCTTGTCAAAGGACGCAGACAGTCAACAGGACTAGCAATGTGACACAGTGCACTTCAGCAGGTGGACAACGGGAGCTCGGAAGTTAATGTTACCTTCTTAAAGAAGGGCATTCTTTTCTCTTTGGAGTGGGGTGACGTTACACTGTTTGCACTGGGTTTAGGGGAGCGGTGGTTTGCTGGAATATCATTTTCTTCTGCATCTAAGCCAGTAGCATCTATGTCTATAGCTATATACAGACAAACAATTCAAAAATCATCAGGAGGACAGGAGAGGAAAAATAGGTTATAAAGAAAATAAAACGAAAGCAAATAAAACCAACCATAGTAAAAATAAATAAATAAATAAATAAAACTATCATGAATGCTTAAAACAGTAGGCAAAGAAAATAAAATTTAAAGGTAAAGCATGTTAAGAATGCAATGTAACCAAATCTAACAAAACTGAAAGACACCCTTATAATCTGCTTGAATTAATCCATTTCATGCTAGAACTATTGAATATTTTCAGAGAAACATTTTATATCTGTAGTTTCACATGTAAAGTTGATATTCTCCTTATCAACTGTATAAAAGTGCAGCATAGAACATTTGACTACATATCTTATAGTATCTTAAACCAGCTTTGAGATAACAAGCAACTACTTTTTGAAAACTTTTATTATAGGTGAGTGCAAAAGTAATTGCGGTTTTTGCATTGTTGGAATTAGCTGTTTGCTATTGGAATACATTCTTAAATAAACGTGGTTACGTTATATATCATTTTAGTGGGCATTTCTCACTTTATGCTTTTTTGCTAACGACATTACTTGCTGTTTATGTTTATTTTAGACTATGGAAATGATGTTAGACCACAAGCAAATTTGATTGATTCTCTTATTCGAGTTCAAAATGGGTTGTAAAGCACTGGAGACGACTTGCAACATCAGCAGCGCATGTGGCCCAGGAACTGCTAATGAACGAGCAGTGTGGTGGTGGTTCAAGAAGCTTTGCAAAGGAGACAAGAGCCATGAAGACGTGGAGCATAGTGGCTGGCCACTGGAAGTTGACAACGGCCACTGGAGAGCCATCACTGAAGCTGATTCTCTTACAACTACATGAGAAGTTGCTGAAGAACTCAACGTGGACTATTCTACGGTGGTTCGGCATTTGAAGCAAATTGGAAAGGTGAAAAAGCTCAATAAGTGGGCGCCTCATGAGCAGAGTGACAATAAAACAAAATCGTTGTTGGGAAGCATCGTCTTCTCTTGTTCTATGTAACAACAATGAACCATTTATCCATCAGATTGTCACGTGCAACAAAAAGTGTATTTTATATGACAATCAGTGACAACCAGCTCAGCTGATGGACTGAGGAGCTCCAAAGCACCTCCCAAAGCCAAGTTTCCACCAAAAAAGGTCACGGTCACTGTTGGGTGGTCTGCTGCTGGTCTGATCCACTGCAGTTCTCTGAATCTCAGCGAAAATATGCCATCTGAGAACTATGCTCAGCAGATCGATGAGATGCACCGAAAACTCCAGTGCCTGCAGCCGGCGTTGATCAACAGAAGCGGCCTGGTTCTTCTCCACAACAACGCCTGACCGCACATCATGCAACCGGCGCTTCAGAAGTCAAATGAATTGGACTATGAAGTTTTGCCTCATCTGCCATATTCACCCGACCTCTCCAACTGACTACCCCTTCTTCAAGCACCTCAACAACTTTTTGCAAGGAAAACGCTTCCATAATCAGCAGGATGCAGAAAATGCTTTCCAAGAGTTTGTCGCATCCCAAAGCACGGATTTTTATGCTATAGGAATAAACAAACTTATTTCTCATTGGCAAAAATGTGTTCTTTGTAATGGTTCCTATTTTGATTTATAAAGATGTATTTCAGCCTAGTTATGATTTGAAATCCATGGTCCAAAACCGCAATTACATTTGTAGCAATAATACAATGTGCCTCCTTTTGCTGCTTTTATGTAAAAATCAGGGCAGTATGAAAAGTTTCACTAAAATTGCAACAAACATTTGAGAGAAAGAGAGAATGGAAAACCCAGTCATACACAAGGCAAATGATTCAGGGTGGGCTCCAGGAAGGACAGGATTAAAAGGATTTAGGTCTCATGAAGACTAATGGGAAAATACTGGGTCCCAAGATATCCGAATGAAATCAGTCTAATAAAATGACACTGAAAGACTTCTGGTGACTTATGCAAAGCCACTGGCTTTAACAGAAGTGGCAGAATGGAAGGGCACGAGGACCCCAGAGGATATGCACTGGCTTCCTTATCTGTAAAATGAAGGGTTTAGCTTTGTCGCTTGGAGTGCTTTTACTTTTCCCATTGTTCCACCTGAAAATAGAGGACTTAAAAAGTGTTACGAGAAAAAAAGATGCATAATCTCACTTCAAATTTTACAAAATGCTCCCAGGTACAATTGAAAGAGTTACAGAATTTTATCAACTGCAGAATCAGAGTTGGAAGTATTTTAAAGATAACTTCAACGGTCTTATTTTTAAGATTAAAAATCTCAGGCAGGGCGCAGTGGCTCACACCTCTAATCCCAGCACTTTGGGAGGCCGAGGCGGGTGGATCACGAGGTCAAGAGATCGAGACCATCCTGGTCAACATGGTGAAACCCCATCTCTACTAAAAATACAAAGAATTAGCTGGGCATGGTGGTGCGTGCCTGTAATCCCAGCTACTCAAGAGGCTGAGGCAGGAGAATCGCCTGAACCCAGGAGGCGGAGGTTGTGGTGAGCCGAGATCGCACCATTGCACTCCAGCCTGGGTAACAAGAGCGAAACTCTGTCTCAAAAAAAAAAACCAAAAAAACAAACAAAAAAAAAAGGGTAAAAAACTCAAAGTTTAAGGGACTTGATCTTGGCAAAAACTTGGCAGAGCCAGGATTCAGACCTACTCCACCTGCCTAAATGAGTCTCTTACACTCCCTATACCACACTGCCCATCCAGGTGAAGTCCCTTCTCAATCTGGGTACCCTCTTTCTGTTCCCTTCACTTCTTGAATGAGGTCATGTCCTTGGTGTCAGGATTCAAGATGACATCATGGAGTTGGGCTAGCTAGAAAATCATTCTATGGTTAAGAATTGGTCAAGGAGAAGAAAAAAATTTACTCACGCCAGGAAAGCATCATATTATACATGTTAGCTCTCTAACAAAAACCACAGTACATTTAGATTGAAGGAAGGAACAAATTACTACTTTGAAATAACAGACAGCATGGTGTTACAATACAGCTTCCATTCCCTGTGATACACAAGCTGAACTGCCCACAACAGCTTCCTCTAACCTTTTCAAAGGATAGGAGGTCATGTGACAGGCATCACATTATTTTTTAGTTTTGAACTTGGTGTGGATAGTAAATGAACCAGCCTCTTGAAAACTAGGATCTTTATTTATTTATATATTTATTTTGAGACAGTGTCTGCTCTCATCACCCAGGCTGGAGTGCAATGGCACGATCTTGGCTCACTGCAATCTCTGCTTCCTGGGTTCAAGTGATTCTCCTGCCTCAGCCTCCCGAGGAGCTGGGATTACAGGCATGTGCCACCATGCCCTGCTAATTTTTGTATTTTTAGTAGAGATGGGGTTTCACCATGATGGCTAGGCTGGTCTCAAACTCCTGACCTCATGATCCACCCATCTCGGCCACCCAAAGTGCTGGAATTACAGATGTAAGCCACCGTGCCCTGCCAACTAGGATCTCTTATTTAATTATTCTTTTCACTGTGATGGAGTGAATTCCTGCCATTGTTTGTACAGTATTACAAGTATCAGCTATTGCTTGCACAATGCAGGAGGTATGATTTTCTATCAAAGGAAGCTAGTAAGAGATAGACTTACATAATAAGTATGTCTATCTCTTTGCTCCATCTATGCATACTGATGTTCTAAAAGGTTTAGCATGTGGTGTGTTGGGAAAATACAAAATGTGCCTAAGGGTTTAACCAATGCTGACTTTTTTTTTTTTTGAGATGGAGTCAGGTTTGAAATTTACCTCTTTCTGGACATGAGGGCTGGAAATCCGAAATTAAGAACTTTCTAATTTACTAGTTCTGACATTTGGTTAACTCAAGTCTAAAAGCATCTCGTCTGAAATACGAAGAATTCTGAAACGTGTTCACTTCCAAAACATATTAAAGAAAGTTACCAAGACAGTTAAGAAGCATTTTCACATCTGTTCAGCTACTTGTATTTTATTAGACTCAGATGGTTCTCCTTTTAATGAAAGATGTTACCTTTTTAAAATTTCATACTTGTATTTCCATTCTTTAGCAAACATTAGTATTTACTTGGAAAGAACTACATTGTTGATATATTTGAAAAGTCTCATTCTTCCTCACTAGCATGCATATATTATTATTATTGATAGAGAGCCTTGGAAACATTTTTTTCAATTTATTTATTTATTTGAGACAGAGTCTCCTGTTGCCCAGGCTGGAGTACAGTGACATAATCATGGCTCGCTGCAGCCTCAACCTCATGGACTCAAGTGATCCTACCTCAGCCTCCCTCCCAAGTAGCTGGGACTACAGGCGCACGCCACCATACCCAGTAGTGTGTGTGTGTGTGTGTGTGTGTGTGTGTGTGTAGAAAAGGGGTCTCACTATGTTGTCCAGGCTGGTCTTGAACTCCTAGGCTCAAGTGATCCCCTGCCTCAGCCTCCCAAAGTGCTGGGATTACAAGCATGAGCCACGGCACCCAGAAATTTGTTTTGAAATTTAAGTTTTAGTTTAACCTTAATAGCATGGGTCAAGTTAAGCAGAGCTTGGAGTTGAGACATATGTGGGTGTGATGTATGTGTTGTGCAACTGGCCATGATCCCGTGACCCAGAAGTCAAGTGGAAAATTTTCCAAGTTCTTGAGAGCATCCAGGTATATATACTTTAGGCATATAGATAATTACATATTTTTTGAGACGGAGTCTTGCTCTGTCACCCAGGCTAAAGTGCAGTGGTGGAATCTTGGCTCACTGCAACCTCCACCTCCTGGGTTCAAGGGATTCTCCTGCCTCAGCCTCTTGAAGAGCTGGGACAACAGGCACATGCCACCACTCCTGGCTAAGTTTTTTAGTTTTAGTAGAGATGGAGTTTTACCATATAGGTCAGGCTCGTCTTGAACGCCTGACCTTGTGATCTGTCCCCCTCGGCCTCCCAAACTGCTGGAATTATAGGCATGAGCCACTGTGCCCAGCTGATACTTATATTCCTTGGTCTGGCAATGGGTGAGCGCAGTAGTAGATGGGACCTCTGGGAAACAAGATGAAAATGATCATTCCACACTTGATAGTTGGAGCGGTTGTCCCTGGAGGTGGATTGGGAGAACTTCTCTCTAGAATTTTCTGAAGTTTTCCTTTCAATCAGCTGAGCCATTGATGTGAAAATTATCTCAGAGTCATGATATGCTTAATATACATTTTGTAGCTGGTTATAGCTCCAGTTAACACGGTCACAAGTGTGTTCTACTCTTGGTATTCAGAAAAGTCATTCAAAAGTTGGTGTTCTGTACAAAACCTTGGTGAACATGTAAATCATCTTTTTAGCTATTGAACTCTTCATGGAACTTTTAGTAATGACAAAAATCTGCCTAGAAAATGGAATTTTTTTTTTTTTTTTTTGAGACGGAGTCTTGCTCTGTCACCCAGGCTGGAGTGGCACGATCTAGGCTTGCTGCAACCTCTGCTTCCTGGGGTCAAGTGATTCTTCTGCCTCAGCCTCCCAAGTAGCTGGGATTACAAGCAAGGGCCACCATGCCTGGGTAATTTTTATATTCTCAGTGGAGATGGGGTTTCACCGTATTGGCCGGGCTGGTCTCGAACTCCTGACCTCATGATCCACCACCTCGGCCTCCCAGAGTTCTGGGACTACAGGCGTGATCCACAGTGCCTGGCAGTGTTATTTTACATATATACTAACTTGTTTTTCAAAATGCATGTGCCTCCTTTCATTATACAGATGGTCCGTGACATACAAAAGTTCAACTTAAGATTATTCAAGTTTATTATGAATTTTTCAGGACATAACCTTATTGGAAGTCAAGGAACATCTGAACTTAGGATGGTTCAACTTATGACTTCTTACTGTGTCTGTCCACATGTTAAGTGCATTTTGAGTTATGATATTTTCCATCTATGATGGGTTTATTGGGCTGTAACTCCATCATAAGTTGAGAAGCATCTGTGTTGCCAAAACCACTGGAGGGCTACGATATGGCTGGAGGGAATGGAAGAATGTTTCTGGTATATAGAAGGAAATGCAATCAGTGAGGCTGACATTTGCAGGCAGAACTGATGCTCTATTGCAATATGACAGAGTCTTTTGCCATTTTGGGAGCCTACTAGCAGTCCCTAGGAATCACTGAAATCGTCTTTAAGATACATAGGAGTATAAGGTTTATACAGTCATCCCTGCAACTTCACACATTTGAGAAGGAGCAGGATAGGCCAGGCCTCCCTTCCCCTGTGCATCCAGGGACTCCTTAATCACCAAGGGAAGGCATGAGCTTCACATAATACCTACAGGGGCTTTACTTTACATTTCATACATACTCTTTTACTTAATTTTGATCATCTTAGAATTGCTTGCTGCAAGGTATAAGTAGGTAGCTTTTGAAATTAATTTGCTTCCTAAAGCAATTCATTTATTGTGCTCAGATTTTGCTTACTTAAAAAGTCCAATATTCTTTGTAGAACTTGGAATTCTATATAACAGGAGGCCAACTGTTTCAATTGCAAAAAAAAAAAAAGCCCATGATCAGTACCTTAGTTTGCTAATGGCTGGGCATGGTGGTTTGTGTCTGTCATCCTGGCAGTTTGGGAAGCTAGGGAGGAGGAACCCTTGAACCCAGGAGTTTCAAGACCAGCCTGGGCAACATCGTGAGACTCCTTCACTAAAAAAGAAGAAAAATCCTGTAGTTTTTGCTAAGGAGTCCTTGACTGGTCTCTAAAGGCCACCACATTCAGGAATGAAGCTGATTATTAGTAACAGGGAAATCCTGTGCTTAAAGCACTGCTGGGCGCGGTGGCTCACGCCTGTAATCCCAGCACTTTGGGTGGCCGAGGTGGGTGGATCACGAGGTCAAGAGATTGAGACAATCCTGGTCAACATGGTGAAACCCTGTCTCTACTAAAAATACAAAAATTAGCTGGGCATGGTGGCGTGCGCTTGTAGTCCCAGCTCCTCGGGAGGCTGGGGCAGGAGAATTGCCTGAACCCAGGAGGCAGAGGTTGCGGTGAACCAAGATCGCGCCTGGGTAACAAGAGCGAAACTCCGTCTCAAAGAAAAAAAAAAAAAAAAAAAAAGCACATCAGTCACTGTGTCACTAGTTCCTTGATCTCGCCACAGTTGTGCAACTCTGCTTTTCATCTCTTCCCATTTCCAGCTTTTAGAAATCACACACAGTATCATTTTGCAGAAATGCCCTGGCAGCCAATCTTTACATTCCTACTCTGATTCCGAATTACAATTATCTTAGCAAACTAAGATACTGATCATGGGCTTTTTTGCCATTCAAAGAGTTGATCTCCTGTTTATATAGAATTTCAAGTTCTTCACAGGAGAGTTCCCAGATTTAGCAAATATAAATGCAGTTAAATTTGAATTTAAAACACTGTTTCAGTGTAAGTATGTTCCATAAATTTTTAGTGTAAGTCTGTCCCATGTAATATATACTTAAACTAATAAATTATTATATATCTGAAATTCATGTTTAACTAGGTGTGCTTTATTTTATCAAGCAACCATTAGGATGAACCCACTGCTTTGGAAAGAAAACAGGGCACAGTGGCTCACTCCTGTAATCCCAGCACTTTGGGAGGCCAAGGTGGGCAGATCACAGGGTCAGGAGATTGAGATCATCCTGGCCAACATGGTGAAACTCCGTCCCTACTAAAAATACAAAAATTAGCTGGGTATGGTGGCGCGTGCCTGTAGTCCCAGCTACTCAGGAGGCTGAGGCAGGAGAATCGCTTGAACCCAGGAGGCAGAAGTTGCAGTAAGCCAAGATCGGGAGTGCACTAAGCTCCTGCCTGGTGACAGAGTGAGACTGTGTCTTAGAAAATACAAAAATAAAAAATAAATAAAAATGAGGAAAATAGTAGTTACTCTTTCCATGAACACTTTCGTCTTTTTTCTATACTTCCTGTCTGTGTCTTCCACAGAACCTTTCTGGCAGAGTCCATGACAGGCCAATGCTCTATCTTCACTTTATTCTCTGTTCTTTCCCTTCCTATAGTTTTTATCCTTTCTATTTAATGTTAATGCTCTCTCTCACACTGTGCTATGGTTGTTGGCGAGTATTCAACCATTTAATGCCCATAAAAAAGCACCATCGCAGGAACTGGGGATTAAAGGTTAAATATGGCTGGGTGCAGTGGCTCATGCCTGTAAACCCAGCACCTTGGGAGGCCGAAGCAGGTAGACTGCTTGATCTCAAGAGTTTGAGACCAGCCTGAGCAACGCCATGAAACTCCATCTCTACAAAAAATACAAAAATTAGCTGGGTGTAGTGGTGTGCACCTGTAGTCTTAGCTACCTGGGAATCTGAGGTGAGAGGATTGCTCAAGTCCCAGAGGCGGAGGTGCAGTGAGCCAAGATCATGCCACTGCCCTCCAGCCTGGGTGACAGAGTGAGACTCTGTGTCAAAAAAAAAAGAAAAGAAAAACAGTTAAATACATGAATCACTTTGATCATCTATAGCAATGTAAACACTACGACATACTTTTTTTTTTCAAGCCAGAAAAAAACATTTCCCCATATTGTTTGTAACTCTAAAAGGGCATGCTTAATTCTGATTTTTCTAACTTCTGTAGGGTTAACACAGTGATTTAGTGTATTTGTAAATTCACAAAACTGGATCGGACTGGGGAAGGCATGAAATGCAGTATGAACTATTCAGCATTTATCACCTACTTACCAGATGATGGAGGTGTCGATTTTCTGGAACTAGGTACTATGTCACCCAAACTGGATGATGAATTTCCTCCTGATTTACTGGAGTAAAGCAAAAATTTCCATTACATCTGACACTTATTTCAGATCCTCAAACATTTAGATTACTCAATAAACATGATAATTCATTGTGTTTTTATTCAATTTTAAATTTATCTTTCAATCAAGGAGAAAAACAGTATTTCCCAGTGGAGATTCCTAGAGTACCTGAAATAGCCACATGATGGTGTCTGTTTTCTAATTCAAGGTTTAATTGTAAGAGGCCCTGAGAGAATGAAAAAGAATCAGCATAATTTCTACAGTCCTTAAGTTATCTGCCCAGAACACAGATAGTGAAACAGCACAGATTTCTTTTGCTTTTTATTTTAGAGACCCTTGGAGGCAATGCATAGAACCTTAAGGCTAACACCCAAGATGAGAATTTCCTCCTTGTTTGGTTCCACCTCCTCTGTTTTGGCTTATTTTATTAATAGTACAATAAGATTGAAAGCACTCAAGCTTTTATAGGCAACCGATCAAAGAACAGCAGAGCCACATGAAAACTTGCCAACCACTAAATGACACACGAAGCAACATGACTAAACAGAGTATGATGTGATGTAGCCATCAGATAGTACCCAGAATATTTCTCAAGCATGACTCATATGGAGAATGAAACCTGGTTAACTTAGGAATGATTTGAAGATCATACATCTCAGACCTACCAAGTTTGAAAGCTTGAGATAGTAAGATATACTTCAGTGTCTCAGAACCTTTGGAGTTAACATTAGAACAGCAGCATTCGTGTTCTTCACCAGCATACTGGCACGCTAAATAACGTCACTGAATGACCCCCTTTCAGATGACGATGGCAAGGAGCATTTTAAATTTGGGCAAAATGATCTCACTGTCTAACGTTTATTATTATGGCCAAGCCAGGGTCTAGTTGAAAGAATTTGCTGCAGTGTTTATGCATCAAAGGGCAATATTTGCTTATGTAAATATTAATATGAAAATAAAAGTTTTATTAAAATATCAGTAACAGACTGAATGTTATTGCTACTATTCTAGCATTTTAATGCATAAACATCAAAAACTTTATTAAGCAACTAGCAGGAAGGCTCTACATCTTTTTAAAGTTCTTAAGAGATACTCCAATATTTAATAAGGGCATGGGACAGTATGGGAAATTAATGACAAGTGATATTTATAGAAGCGGGTTCTGGAAGTTATGCAAGGACCCGTTACCAATATGAAAACATTTTTTTTTCAGAAGTTTTTTTTTTATTTTATTTTCTAAAGTATTAAGTCTAATTTCAGTTCAAGCATGGTTTTTTTTTAAATTCCCTTTGAATTTTAGTAACAGCCAAAATATTATCTATGTAAAACTATAACTACTGCAAATGGTGACAATGACCAGGATCCAGATTTGTCCTTGACTTTTAATTCTATTGAAATGCCAAGTTCTTGAACTATACCCCAATTCCATTGCCATTGAGCTCTGTCAACTATAATTTCAGTATCAGAATTTTTAAAGACTGCCAGATTCTGGTTATGTCCTCAAAACAAAACTACATTTAAAATGTTAGTAGAGGATGGCGTGGTGGCTCACACCTGTGTTCCCAACACTCTGGGAAGCCGAGGCGAGTGGATCACCTGAGGTCAGGAGTTTGATACCAGCCTGGCCAACATGGCAACTCCCCCGCCCCCCCCACTACAAAAACCAGCTGGGTGTGGTGGCAGGTGCCTGTAATCTCAGCTACTCAGGAGGCTGAGGCAGAAGAATTGCTTGAAACCAGGAGGCAGAGGTTGCAGTGAATCAAGACCGCGCCACTACACTCCAGCCTGCGCTCAGAGAGAGACTCTGTCTCAAAAAAAAAAAAAAAAGAGAGAGAGAAATGTAAAACCCCGTGAAAGCAAGTTAAAGTATTTTCACATACTTAGGCAAAATCGTGGGACAAAATAAAATGAAAATCAAAGGGAGAGACACATGGCTGTAAGAAAAGGTAACCTAATTCTCTGGAGTAAGTTCTGAGATGTTACATTCCCTCAAATATGGATAACTCAGAGTCCTAAGGAAAAAAAGGCAAACAGCAAAACAACATAGCTAAAAAAGTAAACACTAACAGATGGCACTAACGATTTCTCCTGGGGTTGCTGTGCCAGGCAAGACCTGGCTCCTTAATTTGCGGTTCAGCATGGAAGTCTGTCCAGCATGGAGGTCAGACTGCTATCTTGGTTCTGAGACTTACTGACTCCGCAACCAGTTCCCTGACTTCTCTTAACCTATTTTCTCACCTGTGACCTGTAAGATCTAATACCCACTGTTCCCACAGGTCCTTATAAGATGACCTGAGCACCAATGTTAGCCCAGGCAGGTCCATTTGGGACACAGAAGAGACTACTTTTCTCTAACAATATGGAGAAAAATATCTACTCCCTTCCTATTCCCTTTGAAGTCATTCTCATTTCTCAGTTTCTACATGGAGAAGCAGAGAAGGACACACAAGCTTGCCTCTGCAAAAATCCATCCCAAATTTTCCAAAACGCATTCTACAAACACTATTCCTAAGACATGAACCAGAGGAGATTTTATGAGAAAGTAATTTTAGTAAATACTATAAACTTAAAAATCTCCATTCCAGCAGAGATTCACAGTGTACATTATCACATTAAAAGGCTCTGAAAAATCCTTAAGTAGTTGTCTATTACCTACACCTATCCTAAATTTATTTTATCTTGGAACCCCCTTCTCAAGTGATTTGACAAGAAAATTCTGAAAAAAGCCGAACTGTCCTGACTAAAAACAAAATGTCCCCCAGCTGAGATAACTTCAAATCTCAACAAACTATATACTACCTGGTTGATAAGAGCAATGTCTACAACGTATCAAAACAAAATGTTTCCATATAAGGTACGTTTCTTTTTTTTTCCCCCGAGACAGAGTTTCGCTATTGCCCAGGTTGGAATGCAATCCTGGCTCACTGCAACCTCTGCCTTGCAAGTTTGAGTCTCATACCTCAGCCTCCAAGTAGCTGGGATTAGAGGCATGTGCCACCATTCCCGGCTAATTTTTTTACTTTTTTTTTTTTTTTTTTTTTTTTTTTTTTAGTAGAGACAGGGTTTCACCATGTTGACCAGGCTGGTCTCAAACACCTAGCCTCAAGTAATCTGCCTGCCTTGACCTCCCAAAGTGCTGGGATTACAAGCCTGAACCACTGGCCATAAGGTTTTATTAAACAGTATTATGATACAATTTTCAATACAGAGGGTAGAAAAACACAAAATAAGGCCAATGGAATACTAAGGATTGAAAGAACAGTATCGGATCTTCAAACACCCTGCCGGCAAAATGTACATGCATTGTTTATCTACATGCCTCTACTTTTATTTCTCATTAAGAAATGCATTTAACAAAAGTTTACTTTAATATTTAATGTTGCATATCAACATATGCATTATACATGTTGGCCTAATGAATAATTTACTGCTAATGATAACTTAATTCAGAGTAAAGTATTTTAATTCTGAGGCTTATTTCAGAGGAAACTTTTCCTTCTTTTTTTTTTTTTTTTCTTTTAGGTTCAGGGGTATAGGTACAGGTTTGTTACATAGGCAAATTGCATGTCGCAGGGGTTTGGTATACAGATTATTTTGTCACCCAGATAATGAACATAACATTATCCTCACCCTCCTCCCATCCTCCGCCCTCCAGTAGTCCCCAGTGTTCATGTTCCCTTCTTGGTGTCCACATGTTCTTGGTGTTTACCTCTCACTTATAAGTGAGAACATGCAGTATTTGGTTTTCTATTCCTGTGTTAGTTTGGGATAATGGCCTCCAGCTCCATCCAAGTTGCTGCAAAGGACATGATCTTATTCTGTTTTTTTTTTTCTGAGATGCAGTCTCACTCTGTCACCCAGGCTAGCGTGCAATGGCCCGATCTTGGCTCACTGCAACCTTCGCCTCCTGAGTTTAAGCAATTCTCCTGCCTCAGCCTCTCGAGTAACTTGGATTAAAGGCGTCTGCCACCACCCCGGGCTAATTTTTATATTTTTAGCAGAGATGGGGTCTAACCATGTTGGCTGGGCTGGTCTTGAACTCCTGACCTCAGGTGATCCATCTGCCTTGGCCTCCCAAAGTGCTGGGATTACAGGTGTGAGCCACCGTGCCTTGCCAAGCTTGCTCTTTTTTTAATGCATGCCTCTACTTATATGACTGAATGTATCTCACCATCCGAGTGCTCTCAATAACCCGGGAATTAATTTAAGTCAATTGTGGGGTGGAGGTCTCAAAACACAGAAGAATCCATCTGAATTAAATGAACTTGACAATTATAAAAAGCCAGTTAATGAGGATGGGCACTCCAAACCACAAGGCATATTCTGTTTCGCTCATCTGCTGATGCTTGAAAAAAATTCTTGCTGACATTAAAGTATTATCACTGACAATGGAATTTGCATCTTAGATAAACAAATAAGATGTAAGATGGAGAAAACAGAAATCCGGCGATTCACGTTTAAGAAGGGTCTTGCCTATGTCCCTTTCACATGGAGAGGGGCATGCTGTGTCCATAGACCTGTCTGCATATGATTCCGTGTAAAATTCAGTACATGGATGAGAAGCCTTTCTAGTGATGCTTTTAGAGATGGGCAGACAAACTCACGAATCCTAGGAGGGATTATTCAGCCCCAGCTTCTTACATAACTCATCTGATTGCCATCTGCACAGGCAGTTTTAACTGGTTTCATACTTAGCTTCTCTTTAAGTGCTTCACAGTGGGTAGAACTAAAAATTGAGTTTCTCAGGTAAAAATGAAACTAACAGATGACAAGAGCTGCCATTTCCTGATGATGTCTGAGACTGTCATCTCTCAGACACCTCCCAGCCATACCAGGCAGCTACAGACACTGGGATTAGTCACCAGGGCTATTCTGTACCAGACTATTTTTCAGTAAATGATTAAGATTTCATAATTTCCTCTATACTGGAGCCTGAATATTCTATGACCTTAGCTCTTTTCATTAATGATAACAATTTAATACTTTCCCAAATAGGATGAAAATCAGGTGCTAGACTGAAGTTTTTTAAAGGCAGGAAAATGCAAGATTTGTGATGCTATCAGAAAATCTTATCACCTGCCTCTTTGTTAATATGTAATAAAGGATACTGCATACTGCAGACGACAGCACACACACAGCAGTACAATCTAACTGTGATGCAAACGCTTGACATCTGTCTCATACCTGGAGTAGAATTTCCCTTGCTTGGCTCTCTGTTCATGCTGCAGCCTCATGTTTTCTAGTTTGACTGGGCTTGGAATGAATCCGATTTCACAGCCTTCTTTGACCAAACGCCCTATCCACCAGTCATTGTTAAATTTCTAAACACAAAATCAAAAGCATTAAAAATCAGCACACAGAAGATCAACTCCTTGTTCTTCCACACCAACTATTTTCACTGGAGAGAAATGTGGCAGTGACAATGAACTCTGCCTCAAATATTATCATTCAAGAAACGCTTCGTTTCATGGGTTTTGCACGTTAAGAAATGCTTTTAGCATCCTCAACAATCTATCAAAGGCTCTGCATTCCCTGCCTGTCCTGGTGCTACTGTAGGACCAGGCTGAATTCCGTTGCAGCAGCTGCTGTCACCATGAGTAGGGATAAACTCTCTGGGTCCAAAGAACAACAGCCCATTCTACCAAGAGATCTTTAGGAAGTAGTGTTACGGAAATCTTCCCCTTATGTAATCAGACCAACTGGAAGTATGGAGAGAAAGAGAGAAATATTGAAATCTCCCTTAAATATTTTGTGTCACAGGACAATTTACCTTTGTGCAAACAGTTTTATAATTACACAATGCGATGTTCAAAGGTGATTTCTCTACTTGTGTGATGTTGACAATTTGTCTCTTGCAGCTGGAATATGTATCTTAAATCTTTATATTTGCCTTTGTTTTCCTTGACTGAATAAATCTTTCCTTGAACACGTCAAAGAAGAATATACATTGCTTTTCATTTCCTTTCATGGCAGAAAGATCCCCCTTTCAGCACCAACCATCAAGAAGACACCCCGTAGTCATCTACCTTTCCGTTGTAAAGTGAGATTCTAGGCACACCATCACTTCTGGTAACTTCTTCTATTGTTCTCACTTAGCCAGTATTTGACATCTCTTTTCAGAGGTTACCAAAATGGTAGGCTCTAAATTCTTTAGGCTCTTTCATTTTTAATTGAGATAGGGTCTCACTTTGTTGCCCAGGCTGGAGTGAAGTGACATGATCCCAGCTCCCTCCTGTCCAGAACTCCCAGGCTCAATCAATCAATCCACTGACCTCAGCCTCCTGAGTAGCTGGGACTATTGGTGTGTGCCACCATGCCCAGCTAATTTTTTTTTTCTCTCTCTCCCTTTTTTTTTTTTTTTGTAGAGATTGTGTTTTACCCTGTTGCCCAGGCTGGTCTCAAACTCCTGGGTTCAAGAGATTTGCCTTCCTCGGCCTCCCAAAGTGCCTGGATTACAGGCAGGAGCCATAGTACCCAGTCTTCTAGGTTCTTTTAATCAGCAGCCATCATCACCTTCTTTGCTGACACCCTTCAGTGCAGTGAAGAGTTAAATTTACACATGCTCCCTATGACATATTATCCATTAGATGGAAGGGCTCCAAGTATAATTCCTCCAGGTCCAAGAATAACCTCAGGCTCCTCATACACATAGAATATTCTACAGGGGAAATTTCTGATCAGTTAACACAGTGCTTCACAAAGCAGACATTTGATAAATGTTGACTCCAAACAAACCTTAATTAAGGATGAAAGTTTCCAATTTGCAGGTTGTGTCATTGCTTACTAAGAGGTGGAGACATTTAGCGTTTAGGAAAAGGACTTTTCGTGGTATCTCTTTGTTGCCTTATTGGTGTCAATTCTTAGCATTCTCTCATCCACTGCAGAAATTTAGCATTTAAGGAGGAAAAAGGGCATCAGCGGTTTGAATTTAGACACTGTCAGCAGAGAGAAGAGTCATGATTTCTAGATATTATTAGTAAACCCTCCCCAGAAGAGGTCCAGGCATCAGGAAAAACTGTACCTAGTCGAGGTGAAACACCAGAAGAAGTGGAAGTTAAGCATAAAAAAGAATCATCTACTCTAGCAGTTCCCAGTTTCTGGGCCACAGAGCCCCAGGGAGCACTGAAGTTATTGCAAGAGGCCTGTGACTTCTTTCTGCTTTAAAAGGTATATTTATATGAGTGGAGGTTGAGAGCCATTGACTTAGCATGTATGTTTCACAACTGCAGTGATGTGCAATGCTACTTCCCAGAAGTGGCATGTGAATAGGAAATAAGAAATGGTATGTCACGGTGAAACATCATGCTGATAGAAAATGAAATTATTTTCCTTACTTCCTTAACATGCAGAAAATCTTTTGCTTCGAAGGAAATGGCCATGCCAGGCACCGGAACGTCATCTTCATGGGCTGCGCTGTAGCTGACATTTGTCCGAACTGCAAAGGCAACGGGCTTTGTCTAAAGGGAAAAAAGGAAAACGGAGAAAATTATGAGCAAAACACCAGTGTCCCTCCTTTCCCCCACCCTGCAAATACAAAGATACACTGAAGAGCTACTGTTATCATTATTGGTTCCCCCTCCGCACTGGTTCTTCATCACAAAACAGCTTGTTCGTATTTACAACACGTGAAACCTCCTGGCTCTGAGCTACATAACACCCATTTCTGAACTAGAAAAAAGCCATTGTTCTCTTTGAAAGCACTACAAGCAATGAAGGTGAAGATGAGTCACAGAAATACGTGTTTTCAGCACTGGAGCTTGTAGCAGTTGTAAATGAGAAAATACAAACATGAATAAAACGCCCAGTTGTTTGGTTTCGGTGGAAAAGACTTAGTAACTGCCTCACTACTCCAAACATCTACTTTAATTCATTGATTATTAATGGCATAATTCCAAGAGGTACAATCTTTTGAATGAAAAATGAACCAGGGAATATATGCTACAGCTGTAGCAACTCTTATTCATGGCTGCAGGGAAGCATGAAAGCAATGACCTTTTCTTCTATTATTTCTCCTCCGGGAGTTTGTTCAACGACTAAAGATGGTATTAAGCTCCCTTTCCTCATTTGATGCTTTGAAATTTTACAGATAAAGAGCTGGGAGTGGCGGCTCACACCTGTAATCCCAGCACTTTGTGAGGCCAAGACAAGAGTATTGCTTGAGCCTAGGAGTTCAAGATCAGCCTGGGCAACGTAGCAAGACCTCTTCTCACTAAAAATCAAAACCAAAAATTAACTAGGTGTGGTGGCAGGCACCTATGGTCCCAACTACTTAGGAGACTAAGGCAAGAGGATCACTTAGGCCCAGGAGGTCTAGGCTGCAGTGAGCCGTGATCATGTGACTGCACTCCAGCCTGGGGACAAAGCGAGTCCCTGTCTCAAAAAACAGAAAAAGCCAAACCAAACCAAAAGAATGAGCAGATAAGCATTTGTTCTCTCTTTAGCCAATACCTATTTATCCACAAGATGGAAAAACAGGTAAGCTCAGAAATGGTGAGAATGGTACTGTTCTAATGGGTATTGTGTTTCTTTCCGCTTATGGGCAAGTGAATTGCTTCTGTGTATTTCTTGTTTGTTTGTTTGACAGTAGCCCAGGCTGGAGTTCAGTGGTACAGTCTCAGCTCACTGCAACCTCCTCTTTCTGAGTTCAAGTGATTCTTCTGCCTCGGTCTGCCGAGTAGCTGGGAATACAGGTGTGAGCCACCACGCCCAGGTAATTTTTTGTATTCTTAGTAGAGACAGGATTTCGCTGAGTTGGCCAGGCTGGTCTCGAACTCCTGACCTTAGGTGATCTAAAGGATCGCCCCAGCCTCCCAAAGTGCTGGGATTTACAGGCATGAGCCATGGTGCCTGGCCTCTTCTATATATTTCTTATATACATGATATATACAAAGTAACATAGCTTTTCATGTGATATTCTTTTTAACCTACTCTTTTAAAAAATTATTTCAACCATTCAGGAGCACAGAGCAGTTTCTCCCTACTCAGTGAGCTCTTTACCAGGACTTGCCAATGAAAACGAGGGGGAGTTGGAGTAGACAGAACCCATGTTCATTTCCAAAGTTTCCAAAGTTAATTTGTTCTACCTGACTGTTGTCTGGGTGGAAGACTTGAGTTAAGAGCCCTGATGTTACTAAGATCTAGTTACAATCTACAGACTGGGAAAGGAGGACCAAGTTCTGGATACAGGCATAAAAGACATGAGGTGAATTTAACTATTTGGAAGCCAGCTCTTGACATCCACTACACACACATACATATATATATAATTTTTTTTTTAGAAAGAGTCTCGCTCTGTCACCCAAGATGGAATGCAGTGCACCATCTTGGCTCACTGCAACCTCTGCCTCTTGGGTCAAGAGATTCTCCTGCCTCAGCCTCCTAAGTAGCTGGGATTACAGGCAGGCAGCACCATGCCTAGCTAAGTTTTGTATTTTTAGTAGAGTTGGGGTTTCACCACGTTGGCCAGACTGTTCTTGAACCTCAGGCCTCTCAAAGTGCTGGGACTACAGGCGTGAGCCACCACACCTGGCAACATCCACACCTGGCAACCATATATATAATATATACGTACAGCAACTCATTCACTGCTGCAAGGAACTGTTAATTTTTTTTTCACAATTATATAGTGGATGTTGTTATATATTATTTAAAATCAATCAATCTATCTATTTACCTATCTATCTATCTATCTATCTATCTATCTATCTATGTGTGTGTGTGTATGTTTTTGAGATTGAGTCTCACTGTGACACCTAGGCTGGAGTGCAATGGCATGATCCCAGCTCAACCTCTGCCTCCTGGATTCAAGTGATTCTTCTGCCCCAGCCTTCTGAGTAGCTGGGAGAATTGGTGCCCGCTACCATGCTTGGCTAATTTTTGTATTTTTAGTACACATGGGGTTTCACCATATTGGCTAGGCTGGTCTTGAACGACATCTACTGCAATTTTTAATGATGCAAGGGGTGCTGCTTCTTCTGTTGAAATATGGGAATTAAAAATATACGTTAGAGGTGCCTACAGGGTACCACTGCAGCACAGTCCTTGATAGTATCATGTTCCCATTTTATTCTAGGAATTTTCTTAAATATGTAAAATTTTCTTCCAGAGCTACAATCATAATATATGGAATTTCATATGATGTTAAACATAAAAAAATTCTGTATATTTTTTTAAAGGCCAGGTCCGGTGGCTCATGCCTGTAAATCCCAACACTTTGGGAGGGCACGGTGGGAGCATCCCTTGAGCCCAGGAGTTTGAGACCAGCCTGGGCAACAAAGTGAGACCTCATCTCTTAAAAACACACACACACACACACACACACACACACACACAAATATACTTTTTAAAATATATTTTTAAATTACCTTGGCTGGACACAGTGGCTCACGCCTATAATCCCAGCATTTTGGGAACATGAGGTGGGCAGATGACCTGAGGTCAAGAGTTCAAAACCAGCCTGGCCAACATGGTGAAACCCCATTGCTACAAATATACAAAAATTAGCTGGGCAAAGTTGTGCGTGCCTGTAATCCCAGCTACTTGGGAGGCTGAGACAGGAGAATCGCTTGAACCCGGGAGGCAGAGGCTGCAGTGGGCCAAGATCATTGCACCACTGTACTCTAGCCTGGGTGACAGAGTGAGACTCTGTCTCAAAAACAAACAAACAGACTAAAAGACCACCTCAACCATTCACCCTTTTTTGATATTTAATTGTTCACATTATTAAATATAAAAAATATTCTGCTTTGAAAAAGCTTTGTACAAAAAGCTTCTATTTAGAGTTATTTCCTTGGGGTGGAGTCCCAGATGTAGCATGTATCAGCCATGAGTTATTAAGACTTTTAAAAATTCTATTCCAAAGTACCGTCCAAATGGGCCTTGCTGTTTTATACTGTACCCAGCACTAAAGAATGGTGCCCTTTTTAGTGAGATGTGATCTTAAAAATATTTTAAAGTTTTTACATTTTATTTTAGTTTTTTACATTTTGTAGAGACAAGGGGTCGCTATGCTGCCCAGGTTGGTCTCAAACTCCTGGCCTCTTGTAATCCTCCTGCCTCAGCCTCCCAAAAATGTAGTCATCCTAAAACTCAATTTTACCGTTAGAAATACAATTTCCATGAGTAGATCCATCCATTATGCAGAAAAGTTTCTGATCACTATAGTATAGATCCAAGATTTAAAAAAAAAATGCTGTAATCCCAGCACTTTGGGAGGCCGAGGCGGGTGGATCAAGAGGTCAAGAGATCGAGACCATCCTGGTCAACATGGTGAAACCCCATCTCTACTAAAAATACAAAAAATTAGCTGGGCATGGTGGCGCGTGCCTGTAATCCCAGCTACTCAGGAGGCTGAGGCAGGAGAATTGCCCGAATCCAGGAGGCAGAGGTTGCAGTGAGCCGAGATCGCACCATTGCACTCCAGCCTGGGTAACGAGAGCAAAACTTGGTCTCAAAAAAAAAAAAAAAAAAATGCTAGCATGGTCTTTCACTTCTTTCAGGTATTTCTTTTATTTTTTAGAAGATATGGAATTTAAGCATCACATATATTTTTCATCAATGTAAGACAAATTTTTAATGCCTGACTTGACAGAAGACCCCACAGGAAATCTTATGACTTTTACCAACTTTTTATCACTTTTCCATTATCTGAGTAGCAGCAAGAGGGGACTGAAAAAGGAAAAAGAACGTACAGTGGTGGTGGAAACTGGTGTATCATTCCCAGGTCCACAGATAATAATTTGACGCTCTTAGATTAAGATGTTAAGTTGAAATGTGCCTCTGTTCTCGCTTCACCTCCTGTTACCAACAATGCTACCATTAGATGTAGTTTATATGGGAATTAGCTTTACAGAACTAGAAAAGAAGAACAGCAGATACCTATTCCTCAATATCTTTACTTCAGGAACTATATTTCTAAAATTAGACTAGAAGTACAGTCAAGGGTTTGGGGGAAACAGATGTAGCCAACATAAAAGACCCCAGGATGCTATATCAAAGAGGCCAGATGACAATGTCACTTCTGATTCCCTGGTCTCACTTCGGCCTGCAGTGTGTCTACAACATGGAAGGTATTTTCCACATTAATTTCCTTCATGTGGGTTCAAGAATAAGGGATTTTAAGTGGACCTGGATATGAATGTTGATTCTGCCATTTATTAAATGAGTGGCCTGGGCAAATTCTTTAGCCTCCTTGAGCGTGTTTTCACAAGGCTAAAACAAGAGTAAGAGCAGCATTCTTTAAGGCAACGAGATTACAGGAAATGCACTGCACAAGGCTGAGGCAAGCACTGGGTATACAGTCATCCCTTGATATCTGCCATGATATTGCTTCCAGGACCTCCAAAATCTAGGGATGTTCAAGTCCTTGATATGAAACAGCCCCACTATTTGCACATAACCTGCACACAACCTCTGTATGCTTTATTGCTAGATCACTTACGATACCTCATACAATGTA